CAATCCACTCTTGAGTCAAATAATTATCCTAAAGCCTTCATAAAAAGATACTTAAAATGTGAAGATAAGGATGAATCAAAACCTGCTGCTAAGAATTGGGTTAGTACAGCGGTGGTTCCTTACCGCAAAGAAACGTCCGATGAAATAAAGCGAATCCTTAACGAACATAACATAAGAGTGTACTTTCGTGCATCTAACACCTTACGTTCATTGCTGGTGAAGGTTAAGGATAAAATAGAACAAGAAAACCAGCAGAATTGCGTATACCAGATCAATTGTGGGGATTGTAACGCAGTATATGTAGGAGAAACTTCTAGACAGGTAAATATAAGAATGAAAGAGCATAAACAATGTCTAAAGGTGGTTCCAAAGAGCTCTGCAGACTTGAAGAAGCTAGAAAACAACTCAGCGATTGCGCTACATTCAATAGAAACGGGACACAAAATCGACTTTGATAAGACTAAGGTTTTACAAAAAGGTTTTGGTTCATATCAAGAAAGATTAACTGCAGAAGCCCTACATATATGGGTGAATCCCAACAGTTTAAACAGACGTGAAGGTGTGATGCTAGCCGATGCATGGCAAATCCTGACTAATAAACAAAGTAAAATTTGATATGTATGATCAAGTAGTCACACTTAGTCAAATTCCCGACTGTCTACGTCTTCTTATGGAGAGAATAACAAAGCTATAAAAATTAAATTATATTTATAAAAATGTCAATTATTTGTAACTATCCGGTCAAATCTTGATCACAGCTCATATGAGAATAGCAAATGTTTTATGACTGTTCCACCCACCCACCCACACACACACACACACACACCATTGTATCCTGCATATACTGCATACACACATATATTTTAACAAAAGTAGACAATCATCGGCAGTACGCACACACTGGGTTTCGAACCCAGTACCTTCCGGTTACAAGGCAAGCTCGTATACCATTCAGCACTGGTTTTCAATGGTTCTCTAACTGATATCAATCCGTTATCAACTCGTAAAACATGACTAATCCTTACAAACCAAACTATAGAAAGTTAATCTGATGCTCGCTAGTGACTTTCTACAGGTTGGAGTTTCCTGAGTTCTAGTGAGAAGTCGTGACCAGTGAGGTCCAATTAGATGTCACGTGTGTGGATGGATGTCCCACCAACGACAATGGTTGGGGTCGCGCTAAATCACGAATTGGTAGAAGTTAGAATTCACGAGCCATTGAATCGGGTCCCAGTGGCTGAATGGTATACGAGCTTGCCTTGTAACCGGAAGGTCCTGGGTTCGAAACCCAGTGGGTGCGTACTGCCGATGATTCCCAAACTAGGATGAAACAGCTGTCCAGTACTCCCTGGTTTTCAATGGTTCTCTAACTGATATCAATCCGTGATCAACTCGTGAAACATAACTAATCCTTACAAACCAAACTATAAAAAGTAGACAAATTTTGAAAGTCTGAGGTCAAAAGTTTTTTGATCATAGTTCATACAATTTTTGTTTTGTTTTGTTTAGCACACCTATTGATTGTACTATTGTACTTTTGTATAAACATACAATTCTTATTTATTTATGATACATGTTGATACCTGTTGCATGATTCATGATTGGAGAAGAATTTTAAAAACGAGATGTGTCCCTTTATATATAAACTTTGTTATGTTAATTTCGATTAATTTCCCTGAAGAAGTTCGGACCAGATTGCCAAACGAAACGTTGGAATTAATCATTTCAATTTCGCTGAGATTTTACAAATATAACTTTATAAATGTCTACTGCTACCAAGACTTCAAAGCTCTAGCTTGAAGCCCCATGTTCCACTCGGAACGTACAAGAATAAGATTTTTAAAAATAATAATTTAGAAAGTATTATAAATAATACTGTTGGTTCATTAGCCTAAAAATAGCTTACTAAACGATAATAGTTACGCTAAAATTATTACGTTTGATGTATAGCCTCCTTCATAGATTATGTAAGGTCACTTCTTATAAAACTTAATGAACTGGGGAATTAATCAATGAATAGTCCTGAAATTGGCAAAGCAGATTTGCAGTACCTTTAAATTTTCAGTGTTTATATCTTCTTCCAATTGTAACAAGAACGAACGTGAGTCTTTAGATCCCTCTCACCTTACATCCTCCACCATACAGTTCAATAGAAATTATCATACTAAGTTCATCTATGACTCAGTTTTTTACTCGGTTTCACCTCTTGAACTGAATCTCTGTGTAATCTCAGTTTATTTTGTCATCTACTTTGTCATACCTAATTTTGTCGTTTCTACTTAAACTAATATTTAGAATTTTAAAAGTTTGCCAAACTTCATTTGTGTTAGTGTGATGTATGTAGCCCCTGGCAGATAATCTCATTATGTCGTTTAACGATATTTATGGATATATATGGAAAAATTAGGAGTTTAGTGGTCATAAGTGTCGACTTAACGGTAGTTCTTAGATGTCTTTTTAATCTCTGAATAATTGGAAATGTTATAGGGTGGATTAAATTAAGAAACGTAAAAGTATAAAAAATTACTGATATTCTGTTATGATCCGTTTAATTGTGCGCAAGGTCATACATGTAGGAACGACCATTAGTATTCTTTTTTCGTCAGTATGTGTGGGTCATAGTGAAGTGCAAGTTGCCTCTGAAGTTAGACGTACTTTGTGTTCTAGTAGCTGTTTCTATCAGCTCCAAAAGACTGAATTCATCAAACTGCATTAACGTTAAGACTATGTTTTGTATATTTTTGTTCAGATGTCACACTATTGTCCTAACGAATGTGACTGAACACCTGCCGACAAACATAAACACTGAAGGTGATTTGGGTAAAGTAACTCTGATGGATGCATAAATTTTAAGCGGATGTCAATTTTCATGTCTGACTTCACTCATCTAGCCTTTTAATAAACCTTCAGATATATCTTCCTCTAAACACCTCAATACTAAACAGTAAACTTTTATGTATTTGGCTGATTTTGACAAAAAAAATCAAGTTTTCGACAACGTCAAACTGTGAAAAGTCAGTCTCAGGCGCATGATAACTCAAAAACGTCACCAGTTTTCACTTTCTGACGCATTTCATCACGTAAAAAACAATCAAAAGTTTTTCATGGATTTTCGGTATTTCCCTATCTGATTTTAGTTTCTGCTGAAATCCACCTTGATGATATCTACTGTTTGCCTGCATAGTATCGTTGTAATAGAGACATTTCATAAATCTAAAGCTGGCAGTGTTGACATATACATAGATCAGAGGAAATAAAAATGAATATTTCATAAATTTCCTGTCTATCCCACGAATGCTAGTCTTGATAATAAATAGATTCATAATTCAATATAAATCAATATTTTTAACTTTTTCGTTTAAGAGAAAAATTACTTCTACCCATTTGTCTTTGTGAAGGTTAACTTAGTTTTTCAAAAGTCTAAAAGGGACTGAAATATACTTTGGACGAATGAATTAGGAAAAGTGTCACATTTAATTATCTCTAAGTATTATTCCTTTTAGTTAACAGATGTCGTAGATTTTGTACATTATAGAACGTTTGTCTTATTTCTCTTGGTTACATAGAACGAACAGTGAAGAGGCACTCTTGAAATATTATGAAAAATAACTTCTCATGAGTTAGTTTATACGGTCCTGATTTGTCTAGGGTCTGATCACGGATTGATGTAAGATAGAGAACCATTGGAAACCAAGGGCTACTGGACACCTGCTTCGCCAGCCTAGTTTAGAACTCATTGACAGTAAGCACCAACTGGTGTTCAAACACAGGGTCTTCTGGTCAAAAGGTGAGCTCGCAGACCATTTAGCAACTGGGACGTGACACAGTGGCCTATGAATTCCAACTTCTACCAATTCCTGATTTCAAAACGACCACTAGACTGTCTCATTGGCGAGTGTTTATCCTCACACCCGACGGGGTCAACCCCAGAGTGTTCACGACTTCTCACTAGCACTCCAACCGACGTCATCCTTTAGCTAGTCACTAGCGTGCATCAGATTAATTTTCCTGAGTTCGTTTGTCGGAATTTGATTTGTTTCCAGTTTGATTAAGGATTCGTGTCACGAATTGGTAGAAGTAGAGATTCACGGGCCATCGCATTGATTCGCAGTGGCTTTATGGTCCATGAAATTTCATTATAGGTATAATAAATGATTTGTCATGGCTAATGTAAGACAATTTAAGACTTAATAGGTACTTAATTTGTCGGGAAAATTAAATTTGTCACAGGCAATACCTAATTGGACAGTCAACATAAATACAAAAGGACAATAACGTATCGTTCATTTAGTTGAAAGCTGAGTATTTCCTAAGGTGATTTTAGAGAAATGATGATCTCGTAGTTATCAGTTAGATCTCACAGCTCAGCTGTAGTAATTCAGAGACTTCTAGTTCAAATCTTGCTATGAACCGTGTTCATCATTCTCAGGTGACACTCAAACTGAACATAGGACTTCAACAGCACTTCCCTCTTTCATTTTGTTCTGTGAAGTCCCCTTTAGCTGAATCCAGGATTGCCTATAAGCTTTCATTTCCTCCTCGTATGACATCCTCAGTGTCCTTCATGGACCCCCAACTCGTTTCTACCACATTAACAACAGTTAACTAACTGACGACTACCACGTGTAGTCACACCATAAATTATGTGTATGTTTTGATCAAGCAGTTCATTAGCTTTGAAAATGATTCCGTTACAAAGTGTACTCTGTTATCTGAACTGGAGTATTTTTAAACCGACATGGAAACGATTTATTTTGCGGGTAAGAGGGAAGGAATTAATTGATTCTTATCGTGATAACAACACAAAGCTTACCACTGACAGCTTTTTCCTTCTTTGGGACTTCACAGTCATTTGCCAAATCTTGCAGCAACATTAACACATTTCTTGTACTCCATTTTACTGATATCACAGATGAAAATTAATAATTTTAATATTTGAAATAACCGCATGTATCGCCATTTTTTTCTCCCATCCTCTCTTTTTATCCATTCTTAAATAGACCGTTTACACCTATCGAGATGAAGATACTTACAGAATTGAAAAGGATTGTGTAACCAGTTGTATAGCTCGAGATCGTCGAAATAACAATGTTGGCTTAGTGACTGAATGCTGTGATGAAGATTACTGCAATTCTTCACCGAAACACATTTCCACTTCGTATATGATTATTCTCAGCGCCGCGCTGACAATTTATACTGCTAACAAAATATTCTAAGAAAGAATTTATGCCCCGTTTATTACCCTTTCTTGTTATGTTTTGTTTCTTTCTAGTTTACTGGTCAATTCTAAGCTGAATTGTCGGCTTTATGGTTGGTTCATATTAGATTTATCACCTCTCATTTCTACTATGCTATGTTGTTGTATGTAATATGTTGAAATTCTGTTATGAGCTTATTATATATATATATATATATACTTCACAAGCTACAGCATTGCTATTTTGTTAGATGACAAGAAGTAATTACAATTTTTAAGAAAAAAAAGATGTAAGCATATACGCCTATATATATATAAATCCTTGATTGTATGACAAAATGCTTGATGGAATTTTCAACAATACAACAGGAATTCTATCTACTCATCTTTCCTGTTTTGTAATTATATCATACTTGGAAAACTTATTAAACTGTGTATTTCATGTGCTTGATTAACAAAGCTATTCTGATTCTGTTTGTGTAACAGTGTGTGAAATTGTCGTTTGCTTTCGCTTAAAGACAAAACCCTGCATAAAATATTCAAGATGAAAGTGTGGGTTATGCATCAGTCATATAAGTGTCTGCATCCATCTCCCTGACGAGGTATTGGTTTAACTGGGACAAAGAATAAAAGAAGCATTATGGAATGTGAAAACCTCTTTTATCTCAATATTATTCGTTTAACCAATTTTATGTAATTTATTAATTATTAAATTTATTTACTAATTATATACAGTAAAGAGATTTAAATTCATATCTTTTTGTCTTTTGGATGACATTTTATATTATTCAACTTATTGCTTCATTCTTTCACAATTACCACTTATTAGCACATCACTTGACTTATTAAAGGACTAGGTGACACAAATGCGAACCTCCTCGAAGAAGCGGGTTAGTTCTTTTCAAGTTTGGAGACTCACCTTGTTCACAAGTGCTACTGAACACGAAAACACTAGGTCTATGGCTTTCTGCCAATTGTCTTCAACTATCTAACATCAATTTAAAGTTACCTTACTTTGTGACCATATTAACTGCTAAACTCAGTGATAAAATCCAGTCAGCATCAAAATTAGGGACTAAACATTTGATTTCCATTACTGTCTGGTAATCAATCGATGCTTATTACCTAGCTCCATTACTCAACAAGTACAGCGATAGATTTCTTACATGCTATTGATGAGTTTTCTAATATATTATATGCTTCACTTTACAGTCATTCAGAAAAGTTCAGTGCCCATCGATATTTTGTGAAGTTGGCTAAAGTCCTTGTAATATCCAAAACGATCTCAGTAATATATATATATATATATATATATATATATATATATTCCCGTGTTGTCCTATAGAGTCCACTGTTTTCAGTACAGTTTGGCTTCCGCGTTTACTTGTCCATTCAAATTAGAAGCTTCAGTGTTTAGAATCACTTGCCTGTACCGTGTCCCTACCCGCTGATATTCGGTGACTAGTTCATAATAATATTGATAATAACAATCAAACTGTAATAAGTTCAAATACCTGACTGTTACATTTACAAACTGTCTTAAGAATATAGAGTAATTTCCCCAGAAACCTGTACCACACTTACTGCAAACTAAAACCCACTGACATCTTTATTTTGTCAACTTGGATGATCAAATAGACAGAAGGAAACTGTGAATATATATTACTCATACAAACGTCATTAATGTGTGATCCATTTAGGTCAAAGGAAAGCATCCTTGTGACTATAACAGCCTGTGAAACAAACAATAATTAGGTCACAGGATATCAAAACAAGCTGACATCAGTTAGAGAACCATTAGAAAACCTAAGGGGAGTACTGGATAGATGTTTCGTCCTAGTTTAGCACTCTTCATCAGTACACACCCACTGGGGTTCGAACCCAGGATCTTCTGGTTACAAGGCGATATCGTATACCATTAAGCTCCTGGGACCCGATTCAGTGGCCAGCAGATGAATTCTAACATCTATCAATTTACGACATAGTGTGACCACTAGCCGATGCCTTTGGCGAGTATTTGTCCCTACGTACAACCTGCTGTGCCCTGCTGGTCGCGAGTTCTCCCTAGAACCCCAGGTCGGTGTGAGGACAAATACTCGCCGAGACATTGTCTGGGGTCGCGCCATGTAGTGAATTGGCAGAAGTTAGAATTAATGAGCCATTGGATCGAGTCCCAGTGGCTAATGGTAGCCTTGTGACCAGATGGTCCTGGGTTGGAACCATGTTGGTGTGTACTGATGAAGAGTTCCAAAATAGGATATAATAGCTGTCCAGTACTCCCTTTAGGTTTTCCAATAGTTCTCTAACTGATGTCATCTCATGAAAAATCCTGTAACCAATAAAATTAAGTTATTTTTATAGAATGAAAGACCAATAAAATTAAATCGAACAAGTAACAGTGTGTTCGTCGGTGGATCTCTGGTAGGACACTGGCCCACCAAGCAAGTGTTCTGGGACTCGATCCTCAGCTGATGCACTCCATTGTCTCGCCTAGCCGGCAGGAAACTCGTTAAAGCAGGAAGCTTGGCAATAAGGCAAGCAAACCCAAGTTATGTCACTCGAAGGATCCTACAGAGCCCATTGGACGAAACAATTTAATCTAATATTTCCCTGGCCGACTCAGTGCTGAATACGGACTATCCGGTTGTAAACCAGTAAACGTAGGAGGGTTGGGCATGAGACTGACACACCACTCCAGAAAAACAACACCACCGCCACTGAAAATTCAATGTTTGAAGGCCTGAGTCCCTATTGGGATTCAAAGAATGAAAAAATACTTTGTAACAGTTGTGAGGTCAATGTAGTAAGCTAGGCGATATCTAGACTAGCAACCGCCACAATTTGGAAAAAACGTTGACTACATGAGTGCATTCAGTGGCAGACAACGATGCAATAAAATGGGACAAAGCAACAGTACTAAAATGTAGTAAAACAGAGTGGGGAGGCTGCAAACTTAGACTTTATTTACCGGATCAACTGAGAAACCTGCAACAAGGTTGATTTATCCCTTGTCCTGGTTGTCTGTAAAATTCGACTACCCGTTCGACAATGTGGGAGATGAATGCGAACTATAAAAGCCGCCAATGGAAGCTGTTTAATTACAGTTTATCCAGTTATGAACAAAGTTTATGAACAAAACTGTGCTTGGAACAACATTCAGTAAACAACACTGTTTCGCATTATGATTTGACCAATAAACAAACTAATATGGAATTACAGGTTAGTGTGCTACTATTGTGCTAGTATTTATGGAGAGCAAAGTACTGAAAATAATGAATATGTGGAGGGAAGAAACAGTTGACAGATTAGTGTTAAACATACATTTCATTCTTTGACTCAAACAGTCGATTAAACTATTAATTGAGATATGCTATTGAAATTGTTGAAATTAACAGTTCACTCTTCTAACTAAATTAGTAGAGTGCCAGAATAGTATTTTGGGAAGTTAGTGGTTGGGTCTTGAAGTGATCTAGATAACGCTTTGGCGTTTGAAACTAAGGGCACTCGGTTCGAGCCTCGGTGGGAACACCATCACTCACTGGAAAATGCAGGTACATCCAGATGACGAGTCCCAGATAGGACGAAATGCGCATCCTGGATTCCATTGCTAGTCACCATCCACAAATTAAAGACTAAGATTTTCATTTCGTCTACAATTATTTCTCCTTAAATGATCGATTCACGCATGTTAAAAAGTCAATTATGAAGGGGGTTTGTAAACAAGGAAACTATTCATCAAATAAAATACAGTGATTATGAGATCAAGTTACGAATAGGAGCAAACGTAATATAAAGAATAATATACATGGATAAATGCATATAGTGGAAAGACAATCTAAATAAGAACCTAACCATCTGTAATATGTAGACTTATCTATAATCGGATTACAAAGTTGAAGGGAATGATACTTTTCAAATTCGAATATAATCCAAGTATTGGTTTGTAGGGATTTGGTTGATTGTGACAGGATTTCATCATGAGCTGACATTAGTTAGAGAACCATTGGAAAGCCAGCAGGGAGTATTGGACAGCTGTTTCGCACTCTTCATCAGTACACACCCACTGGGGTTCGAACCCAGGACCTTCTACTTACAATGCTAGCTAGTAGATATTAAGCCACTGGGACCCAATCCAATGGCCAGCCCATGAATTCTAACTTCTGCCAATTCACGACATAGTGCGACCCCTAGCCAATGTCTTCGACGAGTATTTGTCCTCACACCCGACCTTCTGCACCCTGCTGGTCACGACTTCACACTAGAACCTCAGGTAACCACCTACCTGAATAGGTCAAAGTGGCTAATGAGCATCTCATTGATATTCGAGTGTTGGTTTGTAGGGATTTGGTGGATTGGTTACAGGATTACATCATCCAGTGGAATGAAAGGAAGAGTGATCATTCCATTCAGTGAATCAGTATGTTAAAATTGTAATACAAATGACCTGATACTTATTCTTTTACTGATAATTTTAATGTGAAGTACAGTACCATAAGAATGAAATTCAAAGTCAGTAAAATTTCTTTCGTGTACTTAACCTAGTAAACCTTTTCAGGGATTTCCGTGTTAATTTAGAACAACTTATCAAGCAAGAAATATTTCTTTCGGTAAGTGGACTATATAAATATCGATATTCGGAGATCTACTTAAATCAAGGGGGATAGTTCAATTTCCATCAAACGTAATGAATCGAAATTTTTCTAACTCTTATAGTTCTGACCATTTGGTTATGTCCTTGGGTTGTAAAATGCACTCACGCATATTATCAATCGGCTTCAATACACTACTGTGCGTTTCGCTAAAAAAAGACCAAAGAAACAATATTATAAAGGCTGGGTATTCGCTTCAAATCGAACAGCATCAGGTCACGCAATATACTGCCGGTTACTGTTTAATTTAAAGATCCTGAACCAACAGTAAATATTGTACCATAAAGTACGTTACGAATTTTGTAGAGTGCATAAACCCAGCATTTAGAGTAAAGCTGTTATTCTGAATGCGAATAGGAAATTACAGAAA